AACTGGCCAGAGAACCGCGCAGACTCGTTGCGAGCATCCCCATGCCGTTTTGCAATTTCCTACACTTGCGAGACCACGGACTACCTCAGGTTGTAAGTAATGGACAAAATAATGTGGGAAACTTACCCAGTGACTTCCCAAAACTTAGGGTTGATGGCATTAATTTGCAAGAATGGTATCAACAGCTCCAGGTTGTCTTTATGAAAGAAAATTTACTATTTTTTATCACTAGTCCCCCAAGAAGACCTTGGACTTTAAAAATAGATTGTTTACACCATAAGGCATTTTTCTTAATAATATCTAGCGTGTCTCCTGCAATGTATCATAGCATCAAACCAAATCTAACTGTTTCAGAAATAATTCAATGCATGTTTAATTTGTTTCACAGCGATAGTGTAGCTACCACCACAAGAATGTCTAAAGACTTCTTTTCTTCCAGAGTAAAACCAGGGGTTTCCATAAGTGAGCATTTAATATCTTTAAACAAAATAAGAGCTGAGCTGCATTTGAGGGGGGAAGTGATTTCAGATCAAACAATGAAAAGTGTTATTATCAATTCACTTGATTCATCATGGGATAGTTTTATGTCACACTTAGACACCATCAATCTAGGATATTTATCAATAGAAAGTCTGTCTAACAAATTGATAGCAGAAGACAATTCAAGAAAAAATCGTTATAGCAATCACACAGAACACAAATCTTTTAGGAAGGTAGCTTTCCAAGAAAAATATAATGAAACTTTTAAATGCCACAATTGTGGGTCCAGGGAACACAATAGAAGAGATTGTCCCAAAATTTCAAAGGAAAGACATAGGTCAGAATATAGGAATAAATACAATTATAGACAGTCTTCCACAGATAGACATAAATATAGAAGCCCACCAAATTACAGAGAAAGTAGAGGGGGCAGAGAAAATTCAAAAGAGAGAAAATCTGGTTCACTGAATGGACTAAATAAACAAGACAGCACTAAAACGCAACAAAATGAGAACAATAATTGGCTTATTGATTCTGGGGCAACTAATCACACCACTAATAACAAAAATATATTGTCTTCATTTACAGAAGATAAGTTTGTAATAAAGGTAGCTAATCAAGAAAAAGTTCAAGTATTAGGCAGAGGGAATGTGACCTTGCCTGGTCTAGGAAAAATAGAGGGGGTATTGTTAATACCAGAAATACCTCATAACATACTAAGTGCCATAAAACTAAGCAGAGATTCTGACATCAATATAGTTTTCTCAAAGGGAAAAGCAACTTTAGAGAAGAATAAAACAAATGTAGGCACTGTGATGATTAAAGGAGGCCTACCCTATCTGATAACAAAAGAAAGATGGTTACATAACATTGATTCAAATATGGAAGATTGTATTGAGGCAGATGATGAAAATATTAGTAACAGTGACAATGATGAATGTAAAATATCTCATGATCACACAGATACACACAATGAGAAGAAACCAAAAATAGGTAAACCAATTCATGACGAGTGTGCTCACATCTTACATAGGAAGTTAGGACATGCAAGTTTTCCTGTAGTACAAAAAATGACTGAACACGCAGAAGGTGTCAAAATAAAAAATTGTGAAAATTATTTGGAATGCTCAGTATGTAAATCTACTAAACTAAAAACTAGTCCCAGGCCAAAAAAATCCACCAGATCAACTAACAAAATTTTTGACTTAGTACACATGGACTTAGTTGGCCCATTAACTCCATCAATCACTTATAGAAAACGTTACTTCCTAACAATAGTAGACGATTACAGTCGCTATGGTTTTGTTTACACATTAAAACACAAGGATGAAACCTTTCAAAAATTTAAGGAATTTTACAAACGCATAGAAACACAACATAATATCAGAATAAAACAAATTATGACAGATAGGGGATGTGAATTCATGTCAAAAGAATTCTCCCAATGGTTAAAGGATAGAGGAATGCTACATTACACGTCTAGTCCATTTTCTGCGTTCCAGAACGGGATTGCAGAGAGAAAGAATTCCACATTACAAACCATGATTAGGTGCACATTAGAGGATGCTGGTTTAGGCAAACAATTTTGGTCAGAAGCCTTACATTATTCAAATTACACTCAAAATAGAACCTGGTCCAGTATTGTAAATAAGACACCATATGAGGTGATGTATAATAGGAAACCAAAATTAGCACACATGCACATATTTGGGGTCACTGCAGACGTACACATACCTAAACAGTTGAGAAGAAAGGGAGAAAACGTATCCAGAAGACTAAGATTTATGGGATATGAAACTGGCACCAAAGGGTACAGATTCATTGATAATAATAACAAATTTATAGTTTCCAGAACAGCTGTGTTCCATGAACAGGCCAACTGGTCTAAATTACATCTTAATGAAATATTTCCAAATAAATGCAAAGATACAAAATCTCGTGAGGAAGGGACAATAGAAAATCAAAATATCAACAAAAATAAAAACAAAACCAAAACATGGACAAATAGTCAACACAAAATAAAGACAGACACATTAACAAAAAAGGAAGCAAGATATTTGCATGACTACCATAGCAAACCTGAAAGAGCTATTAGGAACAACAGAAATCAAATACCAAATAAATACAGAGATTACATAATGCATATGGATGGTGAACAAATAACACCTAATACATATGAGGAAGTATTAAAACTCCCTCGTGAAGAAAAGGAAAAATGGGAACTAGCTATGAAAAAAGAGATGGAAAGTTTGCAAGGATTAAATGTATTCACACCTGCGATTGCACCTAAAGATAAAACAATTATTGGTACCAGGTGGATTTATAAAATTAAAAACCTAGAAGGAGGCAATACCCTATACAAAGCTAGATTGGTTGCACAAGGTTATGCACAAAAATATCCGGAGGACTATACTGACACGTACTCCCCCACAGTAAGAACAGAGAGTGTTAAAACAGCTCTAGTAGTAGCATCCGCACTCAATCTTGATGTATTTCAATATGACATACAGACTGCGTATCTACACGCAAAACTAGATAAGGAAATATATGTAAGAGCACCTCACAGTCAATACACTAATAAAAATGAAATTTGGCTATTGAACAAGAGTTTATACGGATTAAAGCAATCTGGCAAAAGATGGTACGATTGCTTGGTAAAAGTACTTAAGACCATGGATTTCAACGCTACCACTGCTGATAACTGTTTCTTTGTCAAAAAGAGTGATGATTACATTGAATTTGTATTGATTTATGTAGATGATATTTTATATATAGGAAAACACAAAGAGAGAAGAGAAATCTTTGTAAACAAGCTAAATGAACATTTCTCGTTGAAATCTCTAGGTAAAGTAAACAAATACCTTGGTGTACAAATTAACAAAACTAGAAGGGGATTCAAACTTACTCAGAAAGATAAGATTATTGAACTTCTAAACAAATGCAATTTAAACAATGCCAAACCCTGTGACACTCCTATGCAAACTGATTTCCTTAGAAATACTGATGAATCTTCCCCTGAATTCAAGGATAATACATTTTATAGATCAGTCATAGGTTCACTTCTTTATATATCTAATTGGACTAGGCCAGATATTGCATTACCACTCAATTTATTATCAAGGCACGTTAGCAAACCAACAATGTATCACTGGGAAGCTGTCAAAAGAATTTTAAGATATCTGAAAAGTACATTAGACTTTTGCCTAGTATTAGAACCTAGTGATAATAAAGAACCAAAACTTACATGTTACGCAGATGCGGATTGGGCTGGAGATATATCATGCAGAAAAAGTACTTCTGGTTATATTTTTCTATTAAATGACTGTCCAGTTTACTGGTACACTGGTAAACAAGAACTGGTAGCCACTTCAACCACAGAAGCGGAATATGTTTGTTTATCCAAAGCTGCAAATAACCTTGTATGGTTTAATGATTTAATTTCAGATGTTTGGAAAAAACCTGCTTTGCCTTTTGTTATGCATGAAGACAATAAAGCAGCCATTGAAATATCTAGATCCGATGCCATTGGACAAAGATCCAGGCATATAGATATAAAATTTAAGCATGTGAGACAATTGTCTCAAGATGGATTTATCAAAGCAGTGCATTGTGATACCTCTGAACAATTAGCAGACATATTGACGAAGCCTTTACCTTCTAAACAGCACAAATACTTAACTTCCAAATTGTATGTCTTATATTGTCCTGAATCTGAATGTAATTGGTGTTGTATAGCGAACCGGCATTTAGAGGGGGATTTGTCAGATGTAAATGCCTTATTCCCTAATGTGTAAATAATGTATATATGGGATATCAGGGGTTAACTTATTCTTTGACTCTTAATGTATTCATAATTCACCACTCCCACTCTTGGCTCCACCCTTTGTATATATAAGGAGCCACCTTCACCATTTTCTTTGCTTCTATCTGTGAATATTCAGTGAATATAGAATGCCTATTATAATTAAAGAGAAATATATTTAAACCTCTAACTCTTATTATTATTATTGAGTCTGATCCTGAAAATATTGCAACATGTTCTTTATACGTTTCAGCCTCCTGTCCCCTAATCAACTTTGTTGCTCTTCTCTGCACTCTTTCTAGAATCTCAACATTTTTTTTACATTGTAAAAACTGGATGCAGTATTCCAAGGGTGGTCTTACCAAGGGCCTATAAAGTGGTATAAAGTGGTATTAACACTTCATGTGATCTTGATTCTATCCTTCTACGTTCTCCACCTTGAGTTATTTGTAAAAATAATAAAGATGGGAAATGATAGATAGATAGATAGATAGATAGATAGATAGATAGATAGAGACAGACAGACAGACAGACAGACAGACAGACAGACAGACAGACAGACAAATTTTATTGAAGATTCAGAAATTCTTTATGAAGAATTTGCAGAACAGATACCAAAGAACAAAAAATATGAGTCAGCTACAGGACAGGACAGGGTTAGAGTCATGAGTTAGTTTTACCTGATTTTGAGAAAGTTTTGCACTATTTTCAACCTTACCTTTAAGAAAGTGTCAGTTTGCTTCTAGTTGAGTTCGAAAACTTTATTTGGAAGCAAGCAGATGGACAGATGCTATCAATTCAAACTAGTATATCTAATTACTTAAAATACAATTCTCATCATTATTTCAATGTTTTGGATTTTCCCATACATTCCTGCCTCTGGCAACTGACATAAACCAACAAAAAGAAACCAACAAAAAGAAAGAGAATATACACAATATATACAGCACACTCTCAGTTGAACATGGAGGAGAACGCTCAACTTAACATTTAATTCCCAGGCCTCACGAAATCTTAAAAAGCCCCTAGCAGCTAAGAAAGAAAATCCATTCCCCTCTTTGATTCGAGGTCTCCTCATTTAAAAACTATACTCCTTTCTTCTTTGAGAAATCTCAAAACTCTAAAACTCTAAAGTCAAGTTCCAAGGAAGTATCAAAAGAAGGCCTGTTTAGTTGATTCAGTTAACTTCCTTATGTATTTGACTCACTAAAATAGTGCCCAATAATTTATTTTCTCTTGGCAGTAATTTCAGTTTGAAAGGCCAAGGTCTTTCCTCCTATGATCTTTGACATTTTTCATTAAATTCCTGGTGCTTAATCATTTGTAGCCAACAGTCATTTGAGTCTTTCGAGTTTTGAGTTTTGAGTTTCAAAACCACTTGCGTCTTTGGGTCCTTGTACATTCAGACATTGTGTCAGCTTTTTAAAACACAGTTTTGAGAAGTATGCTCAGACTGCATTCTTCACATTCTGCTCTGTACATTTTCTCAGTGCAGCTTCTCTGCATAGTATTTTCTTTTTCATAAATATATTTTTGCGATCCCCTCTGAAATACAGAAGTGGAAGTTGTAACAAAAAAAAAATCATACAGTCCCTCTACCTCCTTCTCATAATATAACTTTTTCTTATTTTGAATCTGTAAACAATTGTGCATAAAAAGTATGTATCAAAATGCTAATGAATAAGTGTATCAGCTTTGGTTCACTTTGAGAATAATTGAAATATACAATTCAATCAGAGTTTTATAATCTTTTGCATGCAACTGTATAAAGATGTTATTTTTTTACAGATTTCTAGATAAAGATACATCACAAGCTTATTGCCTTATTCCTCTTTGATGAGTTGCTATTCTACCCACCTCACTTTACGTGCAGAAAATGTCCATACAATATCAATAGGTGATATCAATTTATAAACCATCTAGATCTCCCAGATCACTGCTGCATGGTGACTTCTGCTAGTTTGGATGAAATCTCAGTTTGTGACCCTACAATACTTAGATACATGAGTGATTCCATCTGTTGCTACAGCACAATAAACATTTTAATGAGTTGGCAACAGACAGTCATGAAATGGTCCATCAAATAGGAAGTAACGACATTTAAGAGCCTCCCAGATCTATTATGGTGGCTGAGAAGAGGTTACTTCCTGATAATGCTTAAAAAAACAAAGCATTAAGTAGAAGAATCCAAAATAATTTTCAGTGACATTAATTGGTGTCACTAGGTATAAAACTGGAAGTAATTTAACCATCCCATCTTCTTCTTCAGACTAAGCCTCTCCATGTTAAAAGGTAAAGGTAATATGTGCTAGTCATTCCCGACTCTAGAGGGCAGTGCTCACCTCCATTTCAAAGCCGAAGAGCCATGTGGTCATGTGGCCGGCATGACTAAATGACAAAGGCGCACAGAACGCTGTTACCTTCCCACCAAAGGTGGTCCCTATTTTTCTACTTGCATTTTTTATGTACTTTCAAACTGCTAGGTTGGCAGAAGTTAGGACAAATTTTGGGAGTTAACTCTGTTATGCGGCACTAGGGATTCAAACCGCTGAACTGCCGACCTTTCGATCGACAAGCTCAGTGTCTTAGCCACTGAGCCACTGTGTCCCACATCTCTCCATGTTACTGGAGGATTAAAAATTAAATACAATGGGTGGTCCCATTTGGACTGATCTAGAATTTGTTTGTATACCAGAAATACAGAGGTGGGTTTCAGCAGGTTCTTACCAGTTTCGGTAGCGAAAATTTTGAGTAGTTCAGAGAACCGGTAGTAAAAATTCTGACTGGCCCCACCCCCATCTATTCATTTTCATTTTCATTTCATTTTCATTTTATTAGATTTATATACTGCTCTATTCCCAAAGGACTCAGGGTGGTGAACAGCCAGAAAGATAAAACACACAAACTACAAAATTTAAAAGACAATATAAAAACCCATTAAATAATTTGGCCCAAAACAATTTAAAATGTCCCTAATGTTTTAAAACCAATTTTAAAAGTTACAATTAAAAGGGAAGTTAGGCCAGGCCAGCCTGTTGAAATAAATAGGTCTTGAGGGCACGGCGGAAGGTACGTAAATCCGGGATCCTCCATATCTCCGGGGGGAGCTCATTCCAGATAGCAGGTGCCCCCTCAGAGAAGGCTCTCCCCCTGGGGGCCGCCAGTCGACACTGTTTGGCCGACGGCACCCTGAGGAGCCCCTCTCTATGAGAACGTACTGGCCGGTGAGAGGCTATTAGTGGCAGAAGGCGGTCCTGTAAGTACCCTGGTCCTAAGCCATATTCTCTGCCTCTTGAGTCCCAGCTGATCGGGAGGAAATGGAGATTTTACTGTAACCTTCCCCTGGGTTGGGGAGGGAATGGAGATTTTACAGTATCCTTCCCTTGCCACGCCTACCAAGGCACACCCACCAAGCCATGCCACGCCCACCAAGCAAAGCCCACAGAACCGGTAGTAAAAAATTTTTGAAACCCACCACTGCAGAAATAGGAAGACACAGCTGTCTGTTATAAGGACATCCGCCGGGGGATTGGCTGGTCCACTGGCGGGAGATTTAAACAGCTGTCATTGGGCGGCTGAGCCTGCCGGAGCGTATAAAAAGAGCCCCGGCAGCACAGCCGCTTGTTCGATTTCGGAGCTGAATAAAAGGGTCTGAAGGAACCATTGCTGGTCGCGTCTTTCTTTCCCTGCGCCGATCTAACAACAGCTATAGGAACTATCTCATCCATGACATGGCTAACTAAGGCTAAAATTATCTTCTTTTACCCATACTGCTGAATGAGTTAGGATGGTTGCCTGACATATCCATGCATCCATGCAAAGCAGGATCACCTTCTGGGTACAGCCAATCAGATAAGACAACTACAGTAAAATATTCCAAAAAGTTAAAACAGTATAATACTGATTTATAACACTTTTCGCACATTTATATTATCTGTTATTACAGGATTCCCTTCCCTTTAATTTCACTTTCTTTTCTTTTTTTCTTTTTGCAGCTTTTATGCCAAGAATCTCTCCAGTTTATTTGTAAATTCAAAATGTCTTTGTTTTGCCTAATTCAACTTTATTTCCACTTCTCTTGAAGTTAACACAGATAATTGCTTCTGTAAATGCTTAATTTGATGGGTTATAGTTAGGGTGACAAATTCTGCACACGTCCGTTTTCTAAGAATGTAATATTGGTTTTTCTTCCTCTTTTGCAGAAAGCAAAATGCATTGGGTAAGCAGAAGTGGCTGGGCTTACTTTGCTAAATGCTCAAGATGACTAAAGGATCTTTCTTCGAATTTTTTGCAGAAAAAGAAAAATTATCAGGAACGATCATATGCAAGTTTCCTTCTTTGTCAGATCATTTTCTATTTTTGTTTAATCCAATAGGATCATTACAGTTATTATTTCTGGTCATGTTTCGTGGACTTTTGCTGATATCAGGAATGAAATAATGAGGTTTTATGGATTTGCGGGATATGTAAAGAAGAGATAATTTGCTCTATTTTCTGTGATATACTTGTGATGAAGATGAGAAGTTATTTCTTTATATTTTTTTATGTTTCTGTACTCTCTTTTTATTTTCTTTATTTTCTATTTCTCTTTTTTCCTTTTTTCCCCGCAGTTTTTATTTTTTTCTGATTGTTATATTAGGGTATTTTTTTTAGTTTGCATTAATTCTTACTGATATAATTATGATTCTTTATAAAAATTGCTATTAAAAGGATATGCTAAATGTCTGATAACCCCTTCATTCATTGTCTCCCTCTCAGTGGAGCCCATCTTTTTCCTCTATTCCTCTGCTGCAGCTGGTTGGAATGTAGACTAGGGCAGTGGTCCCCAACATTTTTGGCATCAGGGCCCAGTTTTGTGGAGGACAATTTTTCCATGGACTGAGGGGGGGGATGGTTTTTGTTTCACTCATTTGCCTGCCACTCACCTCCAGCTGTGCGGCCTGGTTCCTAACAAACCATGGACCGGTACCAGTCTGTGGCCCTGGGATTGAGGACTGAAAATACGGCTCCCTTACTACAATCAACAACTGTTGCTAAACTATACAAAGTACAAATAGCCTGTACGATTATACAATACACAGTTGTAAATTCCCCAGAATCACTTAAGTGGGTAGTGTAGAAATTTAATAAATAAATAAAATAAAAATAAGTAACATCTTCCTCTCTTATTATAGTTTTTAATGATGATTGTTTTTATATATTTATTGGCTTTTCTTTTTAATACGCTGTTGTACACTGCCCAGAGTCATATTTCCGTGAGATGGGTGTCCATATAAATATGATGCATTAATACATTCATTCAGTACAGCTTTTCAAGTTAGTCACTTTTTCCTGTAATTTCTAGCAGGATGCAATTTCTAGCAAATGCCTTGCAGTTTCTCCTGACTTTTCTCCATTCAATCGAGAGCCATTTTATCATGTTCGTGACTGACAGGGTGAACTGTAATCAGTCTACAAGAGAAGCTTGTCCTGTTAGTGAGGCCAATTAGGGCAACCAGGAGGCAACATCTCTGGACACTGCAGCTATTTTATTGCTCTTACCCAAGTCATAAATGTACAAGGAATTATGAGGAACGGAGCCCCAAACATATTTCAAGCAGAGATATGGTGCAGGGTTCCTTCTTTAGCAGTTTTCCCATCTTCACTCTGAGAACATTGAAATGGTAGCCACTTCCATCGGTAACCCTTGGCCCATCTCTGATCCTGCTGATCCTGCTACCATTTCACCCTTTGCCCCTGAGGATTGCAAGGAAGGGACTGCC